CTCTTGGATAGTGCCCCCTCCCGGTCTTGTAACAAAGCGTATGTGAACGTGTGGTGTTGTTTTGCTAATAGTCTTGTCCATGCAGTTGCATCAGTGTTTTTTTAGGATCAAAATCGCAGTTCTTGTTGATGTTTCTGCCGAGTCGTGATCGTTTACAATACACTTTGGCTCCACTTCTCTTTGTTTGTGTGCTGGGTGACGCAAATGTACCACCATTGAGAAAATAGTGCCCTCTCTTGAATTGTGCCCTCTCTTGAATTGTGCCCTCACTTGAATAATCTCCTGAATAGTGACCTCTTTTTGAATAATGCCCCATCTGTGAAAAAATCCGTGCCCTGATTGCGAGTACGGTATGTATGTTTGAAATAGAAAGTATATGAACCCTGAAACCAACAAAGGTGACAGATACACTTTCAAGCAGCCGAGCCTGTTGGCAACGGCTCCAACAGTATCTGGCATACGTGCACCCACCAACCCATGACCAGTCACGTCCCCATGACCTGTCATATCCCCATGATCAGTCAAACGTTCCCGAATAGCAGTCAGACCAAATCACCGAGTCGCATCCTGATAACAAGTCGCAAACCGCCGCGGTTTTCTTTCGGATAGGTTCTAGGTCCAATGGCAAAATATTATGACTCGTTCCACCTGCTCGCGATGGCATCAGTCATGACCAAGGGCACTAGGTTGCCATGGTAACATACTCTCATTACACCTGCTCACTGAGGTATCAGGGGTACTTTGTTTTCTTAACGTCTCGAGCAGGAACGATTGAACTCCTTGCGTAGCACTAGTTTGTGTGCGTGCTCCTCTCCAAACAAAAGATGAAAAAAGTTTTTAAGTTAGCTGCATGCAGATAGAAACTCTTTTTGAGAGGACATTTTGGCTGGTTGATTATAATGCAATTCACTTTGCTGAACAGAAAATTTTTTGTCTCAGAGGAAACTGTGTATATATAATAATAATAATAAATTATGAAAGGATTGGGAGAACTTCAAATTCAAAGGAACAGTAGGGGAAGTGAACTGCCTGAAAAGAGAAAAAATCGCCAGACCCACCAGGACTCGAACCCGGGACCTTGCTTGTCATGAGCAATGCTCTAACCACTGAGCTATGGGACCGGGCTGAACCTAGAAGGCGCTGACAAGTTTTTCACTCCAAAGGCAGCTCACAACACGTGCCACACATACTGATGGCACTTGGGTCTTTCTCCCTCCCCCAGGGGAGAATTTCAAAGTTTTAGGAAATTACTGGCCACATGCCACGTACTGCTCTTTTCTCTCCGAAACTCAACACTTGCAAACCAGATATGAAAGAAAGAAAAAATCATCAGTCACACCACCGGGACTCGAACCAGAGACCTTGCTATTCGCGAGCAATGCTCTAACCAACTGAGCTACAGTATGACTCTTATGCACAGTGATGGTAAATCTATCCTTCTTCGATCAATCTATATCTGGCTTGCATCATACTGGCAACTCACACCAATCAAGAGGGCCCTCGACCATTCGCTTGATGATTTTTTCTTTCTTTCATATCTGGTTTGCAAGTGTTGAGTTTCGGAGAGAAAAGAGCAGTACGTGGCATGTGGCCTCTAATTTCCTAAAACTTTGAAATTCTCCGTGAAGTCCAAAATTTGAAATTACAATTTGTATTTGCTCGCAGTGGACATAGTTTGATGCGCTCCCCATGATATCAAGCGAATGGCCGAGGGCCCTCTTGATTGGTGTGAGTTGCCAGTATGATGCAAGCCAGATATGGATTGATCGAAGAAGGATAGATTTACCATCACTGTGGATAAGAGTCATACTGTAGCTCAGTTGGTTAGAGCATTGCTCGCGAATAGCAAGGTCCCTGGTTCGAGTCCCGGTGGTGTGACTGATGATTTTTTCTTTCTTTCATATCTGGTTTGCAAGTGTTGAGTTTCGGAGAGAAAAGAGCAGTACGTGGCATGTGGCCTCTAATTTCCTAAAACTTCGAAATCTCCGTGAAGTCCAAAATTTGAAATTGAAATAATAATAATAATAATAATAATAATCGAAACTCGGCTATTGAGCCAATAATAAATGTAGAAAAGAAAAAGGACATATGGAAAGGAGTTAAGAGAAACTCTCCACCACTGTATCTAGATACTACCGGTATATACAGTCAGAAAGTGCAACAACTAGGCACACAACTGACAGAGTAGTGAGGCATTCGACGTCCTGACACCTAGCTTCAACACATCTCCGTAGCGCTAACCGACAGCCTTCCAACTCGGAAGGTTCAAGGTTATGGAGAGACCAAAGAGGGTTCCGAGTTGGAAGGCTGTCGGTAAGCGCTACGGATATTTGTTGAAGCTAGGTGTCAGGACGTCGAATGTCTCAGTACTCAGTCAGTTTTGTGCCTAGTTGTTGCACTTTCTGACTGTATAATTATAGTACCTAGTTAGAGTGGTGGAGAGTTACTCTTAACTCGTTTCCATATGTCCTTTTTCTTTTCTACAATAATAATACGAAGTAGCGAGCTCCGGTGTGGGGAGCAAACCCTTTCTTACAATAATAATAATAATAATATTTGGGTCCCAAGTATCCACGGAAACACACATTCAGTCATATAAGGCACTTGTCAAAAGTATCCGAACGTTTTCGGCCCCTTCTCATCAAGGATTGTACAGGAAATGGATCAAGTTGGAAAGACTAAAACTTATATAGCGTAAAGATAATGAGATAACAACACTGACAAGGTGGAAAATTAGCAAGTTCAGAACGACACAAAACTCTAAGGAAAATAATAATAGTGACAACAACATAGTGAGCGAATTAAGTTACATTGTTAATACCTCGACCAGGAGTAAAACCAAACAATTGCAGCGACAACACATTTTCTTTCTGTACGCAAAGTTCAGGATCTCACTTACGGATATACAAAGCTTCTAACACCGCCAAATGCAACGCACATCTACCACGTGACAATATTGAGAAAACATTATCGCTGTACAACTCCCGACAATTGGTATGGGCTGACAGATGTTGCTTGATTGACGAAGTGCGACAAAAACTACCTGTAATAACAAGAAAGACAACAAAGAACATTACAGGAGTTGAGGAGTGAAGTTTCATGCATAAAGATAGGTAGTCATGGGTATCCTCACACTGACCCTGAGAACACCTGCTGGAGATGAGGGATTGCAGATGTACAGTCAACTTCGCCTATAACGACACCCGGTGGGGCATCAGAAAAGTGTCCTTATTCGCGAAGTGTCGTTATACCCGAAGTAACATTATGTGGTACACTTAGATGGGACTTTGCTCTGGGCATGAAAATTCTGTCGTTATTCACGAATTGTCGTTATATCCGCTGCAGTCGTTATTAGCCAAGTTGACTGTACAAACGTATTTGCCGGAGCATAAGCCGCACCACCGCCACCACCACCATTTGTTTTGTCACGTGATACAGACATCGTCACATGGTACAGACATCGGACCCTGTTTACCACTGTGAATTTGGTCATCGGAGTAAAAGCCGCACCACCTTTTTGGGCGTGAATTTAGAGTGTTCAGCGTGTGTCTGACACTCTAGAAAGTACGTCACCCTCTTACCATAATATAGTGTACTTGATATGTACAGTTGATAATATTATACCGTATTTCCCCCATTAAACGTACACGTCTCCAATACTAGTACGTCTCCAATTGTAGTACATGTTGAGCGTGGATCAAAAATATAAAAGGACACGTCTCTAATAATGGTACATGCCGGAATGATGGGATGGGCATCACTGGGGTACAGTTGCCAGGGTCTACCTTGTTTCGTTCTTCTTATCCGTTTATCATCTCTGTGTCTTTCTACACTGTTTCCTACCATGGTTGGATGTATTTACAGCCTAAGGGCGCGTTCAGACTACCGATAAAAAGTGACGGAATGGGAAAGTTTCCAAGGTGATTTGATCACGTGACATTCCTGGCACGCTACCGGCGGAACAGTTTTACTGCCGCGGCTGCTGCGGCAGTAAAACTTTTCCGGCAGTAAACAGAGTGCTCAGGCTGGGAAAAAGGGAAAATCCCTTCTCTGTGCCGCTGTGAGAGCTGCAAAACTTAACGTTAGTTTATCGGTAGTGTGAATGTCCTTCACGGTTTATCGCCATTCACGGTTTGACGGGATTCACGGTAGTCTTGAACGCGCCCTGACAGTATCATTATCACGAGTTGTTTGCCACTCAACTCAGGCAATCAATCTTTCCAGAAACAATAAAAGTACACGTCTCCAATACTAGTACAGTCTCCTATAGTATTACAGGTCTGAAAACCTTTGAAAAAATAAAAGTACTGTACATTTATTGGGGAAAACACCGTACTTGATAATACACATTATTGTGAAACACTGCAAGTTGATTTCCGGTGACTGTTCTTGGGGTGCAGTGGAGACTGTGATGGGTTCTGGGGCATTTTTGACTGGTTCTGGGGCATTTGTGACTAGTTCCAGGGCATTTGTGACTAGTTCTGGGGCATTTGTGTCTGGCCCTGGGGCATTTGTGACTAGTTCTGGGGCACTTGTGACCGGTTCTGGGGGCATTTGTGCCTGTTTCTAGGGCATTTGCGACTAGTTCTGGGGTATTTGTGACTAGTTCTGAGGCATTTGTGCCTGGTTCTGGGGCATCTGTGACTGGTTCTGGGGCATTTGTGACTGGTTCTGGGGCATTTGTGACTGGTTCTGGGGCATTTGTGCCTGGTTCTGGGGCATTTGTGCCTGTTTCTGGGGCATTTGTGCTTGGTTCTGGGGCATTTGTTCCTGGCTCTGGGGCATTTGTAACTGAATGACTGGTTGCAGGGCTCGTGACTGCTCACAGGGCCCAGATCATTGAGTAAGATCATGTTGAAGAAAGTAATGCTGATCAATTTCTCTGCCCTCTCCTTCTCTCTACCTTGTCGTGTATGCAGCATTGGCTGCTTGTCTACCCAAATCGGATGGAGAATTCAAAATATCACTTCCTCCAAACGTTGAAAAGAGTTGCACAGCCCATGGGACTCAAGGTTGGGAACCCCTTGCAGGCTCAGCTTCAACATGACCGGGCCAGCGAGTATGTGAATTGCATCACTTGGGAACTTTCACAGGCATATCAACAAGAAAACCCCTTCACGCTGGTGAGTTTGATGTCGAGTCAGTAATACAGTTTGAAACTCTTCCTTTCTAAGTTGGCAAGTTTCCAATCTCTTCTTCCAGAGGGCATTCAGAGAATGATGATATCCTTACGGTAACTGGGTTAATACTTGGCCTTTTCAAATGTGTTGTGGCCATGCAGTATGGTATGCTCTTCCAATTATAATTTTGAGGTCTAGTTCTCAAAAGGGAGACCATAATGAAGACTTATCGGCCCGGTTGAGTATTTGGCAGGGTTTAGCATTGATAATTGTGCAGACATGCTTGTCGGTCGGAATCCCACTTCTGTCAAATATCACTTGGGTTTTTGATCCTAGTGACGGCCTAATTTTTGTTTTGAAAAGGACGAGAGATCAAAATAGATGGACTCCTTAATTCTATTTTAGCACTGTATTTTTTTCTCGTAACACATTATCCTCGTGTGCTCCGGATAGCAGTCGTGAGTCAGTCAAGTGTCAAGTTGGCAAGAAGCATGTGTTCCTGGTTGGAACAAAGCAACTTCATGCCTATTCCCGCCGAAGTCACAACTTCTGAGTTCACATTATTGAATTTAATTGTAATCATTGTTCAGCACGACATTCCACTGATGAATGAGACAGGAAAATCAAGTTTGGATAACTTTCATGACTTCGTTGACTGCTTGACAGTTTCAAGCAGTTGAAAGTTCTAGAGGCAGTGTACATTCGTATTCGTGATCTCAATCTTTGTGAAGAAACAGAAAATGTCACCGTGGGTGGGTGTGCGTGCGTGTGAATGCTTACGTGCATGTGTGCGTGCGTGTATGTGTGCATACGTGCATGTGTGTGTGTGTGTGTGTGTGTGCACGTGCGTGTGTGTGCATGTGTGTATACGTGTGTGTGTGTGTGTGTGTGTGTGTGTGTGTGAGTTCGTGTGCTAATGCCATCTTCATAATTATAACGCTACAATTTGTTTTCCCATACAGGTGTGCTGTCTGTTGCCCTCCGCCGATAAGTCCCGCTATGACGCTATCAAGAAGGTGACGTGTTGCGGACACCATCCAGGTGAGTACCGTCCACGAGCTTTACCTCTTCTTTTCCACCGCAAATTAATAAACCAAAAAAGGGGAATCAGAGCACCCCCCCCATTTCCCTGCAGAAGAATGTAATGTACGCTAGTATTGTGTGGACTGAACTGTTTCATCCTCTGCTTCTTCCCTTGTGGACTCATCAGCGCAGCTCTGAGGAAATGAGGCCGAACCTTAAAACAATGAAAAACTATTTTTGTAAAGCCGGACTTAAGCCCGGCCCGAACGTACCTTGCCAGAGTGCTCAAACTGACGAGTCAGCGAGCTCTGCGTTACGTAAGAAGCAAAGGCACTACCTAACTGCTACAACTTACAACAAGAGCAGGGGAGGAATACTCCATATGCGGACAGAACTCTTTTGTCCTTTGTGGACCCATCAGCGCAGCACAGAGGAAATGAGGCTGAACCTGACAGCAACGACAAATGAATTTGTGTACTGTAGACTATGAGATTTGTATTCCACCCTTTCCAATTGGACCAGCGTAAGCAGTTTGTGACTAGTCCGGCCACAGCAATTTACTACTTTGTGTATGATATTGCGGGTACACACAACCCCTCGTTAGTCAAAACACCAGTTGCCGAGCAAAGAGTTGGTCCGGCCTTGGCGGCCAGACCAACCGGACTGGTTCCACCGGCTTGGGAAGCGGTCTGTGTGTGTGTGTGTGTGTGTGTGTGTGTGTGTGTGTGTGTGTGTGTGTGTGTGAAGGTCTGGATCGCCACGTGGAGCATTGCCTTCCTCCCCCCCCCCCTACCCTCTCTGACAGTACCTCCCATCTGGGAGCAGCGTGGCCAATTCTGGCAGCTGTCAATAGTAGTAGTAGTAGCAGCAGCAGCAGCAGCAGCAGCAGCAGCAGCAGCAGCAGCAGCAGCAGCAGCAGCAGCAGCAGCAGCAGCAGCAGCAGCAGCAGCAGCAGCAGCAGCAGCAGCAGCAGCAGCAGCAGCAGCAGCAGTAGTAGTAGTGTGTGTGTGTGTGTGTGTGTGTGTGTGTATGTGTGTATGTGTGTCTGTGTGTGTGTGTATGCCAGCTAGTTCGGTTGGTGGGTACACTTATGCCTGATTGTGTTGGGTCTGTTGCCAACGGCCCCGACTGCTTGAAGGTGTATTGTTGTACCTGCCACTTTGTTGGTTCCAGGGTTCATTATACTTCCTATTTGAAGTGTACATACCTGTTAACCATGGACTTCTTCTGGCTACACTAACTCTTGTGTAATCAATGGTGCTAGTAAAGCTTCTATCAGATCCACTCTGATTTAGCCACCCACACCAGTAGCAAGTAATACCTTCACTGGGTCAGACGTACAAATACAGTATATGGTAAGAGGTACTGTATATGGTAAGAGGTACAGTATATGGTAAGAGAAGAGGACCTACTATAAGTCGACAATTTTTATCGGCCCATTCAAATTTCGGCCTCCAGGGCTAAAACCAATTTCGGCCGCATCAAATTTTCGGCCTGCACTACTGCCGCCTGTATATACTATGACCGTCACACTGAACCTTGCAAAACAAAATTTCGGCCGCAACAAATTTTCGGCCGCAACAAATTTTCGGCTGATTATGACCACGCCAAAAGTAGCCGAAAATAAATATGCGCCGAATATTGGTTGACTTGCAGTACAAGTAAGTTAGTTACTATGGTTACTAGTTACGACTAAAAGTCCACCAAGCTAACGAGATACATTCAGATAACGCGACAACAAGGCACAAAACAAACAAGGACAAGTCCTCGGTGGACTGTTAGTCATAACTAGTAACTTATAGGTCCTTTTCTCTTTACATTATTACGGTCGCCTCCCTGCGCTTAGTGACCGGACCCAGAAATCAGTACGAGCGGCGACTGGATTGACGTGTGGCCTCATGACGAGCCCAGCACAACCCAGTGACCAACCAGTATAGCTGGCTTGGTGGCTTGGTCCAAGTTCAACCCCACGCGACCAGCAGGCAAGGACGGCTAGCTTCACGTTGTGAGTTGTCATTCAAATCTGAGCTCAAAGTAAAACCAAGAGTGAGAGCTGAGACCGAGTCTCGACTGAAGTAAAAGTGAGAATGACAGCTTGAACTACAGTGTACCATGAGGAAAAACAAAGACCACGATGGCAGGTTCAGCGGAGTTGCGCAGAACAAGAGCGAATGCACGAAAATGTTTGTGAGTGAAAAATACGTTTTTAGCACTCTTTCGCTGCGCTCAGCCGTGAAAAAACAGAACTTCTTTTATAGCGCGTTTTAGAGATATGGCGTGATCATTACTTAGAATGGTACGAGGTAATTCCAGGAAATACTAGAACAGGTAAAACCGGAATATGCGCTGCAAGTCAGCAGGAAAGCAGAATACATGTACGGTGATTATTCGAGAAGAATGAGAGAGAAAGACATGGAGAGAAGAAAGACCAAATTTGGACGTGGGGAGCCCGCTCACCCACGTCAGAGTACAATATGTGAACATGAGGGTCACGTTGGCCTGGGGAGCCTGCTCACCCAATGTGCCATAGTTCAGTGGCTTCTAAAGCGGGATTCACAGAAGCTTTTTTTGCGATGCGACGTGATCTGCGACGGGCGCGTGCGATGGCCTTAAAGGCCGATTCACAATACAACTTTCTGCGACGCGACATGCGACTTGCGACACATGCGACGAGCTGCGACAGCGACACATGGTTCACAATATTCTTCATGTTTGCGACATCCTCATGCACAAGTAGTACTATGCACGTGCACTGCACGTGCATAGTACCACTTGTGCATGATGATGTCGCAAACATGAAGAATATTGTGAACCGTGTGTCGCTGTCGCAGCTCGTCGCAAGTGTCCCAAGTCACATGTCGCATCGCAAGAAGTTGTATTGTGAATCGGCCTTAAGTTCTGCTGCATCCCTGGTGGGCTTTCCCCAAGTCGGCCCCGTTTTTCGCCCCCTTTCGCTAAGCTCAAAAATACATCAGATCCGGCTGCAAAATCAGCTGATTGTTCGAAAATCGGCTGCATATTTGGAATATACTGGAAAGTCGGCTAAAAGAATTGGTTGATATAATGGTTTCAAAATTGGTGAGATATTGGAAGATTTTGAATATTTTCGGCGATTCTTAAAGGAACCCTCCAAAATCGGCGAAAAGCTTAGCGATTGTTCAATAAGTCTCGTTTTCGGCAGGCCGATTTGGGGATTTTACTATTTTACGATCTTCCTAATGGCTAATGTTTGTTTGAGAGGAGGACAAAGGACACGAGTCACACGACCTCAACGCATTAGTACTAAATGTACTACAAGTACTTAAATAGAGAGCTGGAGCGGTCATGGTTGCAGCAACATCATTCGTTCGTAAACGCACTTTGCAACAATATTTGGTAGATTTTTGGCGATTCTCAAAGGAACCCTCCAAAATTGGCGAAAGGCTTAGCGATTTTTCGATAAGTCTCGTTTTCGGCGAATTTTTCCGCCGGCCAATTTGGGGAAAGCCTATTCCCTGGTCGTGCTTGCGTGATACTCTGACCTCTTGCGCGGTGACGGTTTTGGTTCTTGCACACGTCTCCTTTCTACTTAGCTCTTGTTATACATTTGTCATGTTCGTCTTGGCTCTTTGCACGAAGCGCCGAGGCATCGTGGAAGCCTGTAGAACGTCGTAGTGACGTGGCTTTGCAGCCTGGAGATATATTTCTAGAAAGCGAAATACTTTCAGGAAACGTACAACGCGAGAACCCACCTACCCAGGATCCGGCCTTGGTTCACATGCTGTGTCATGCCAAGAAGGCATGTCACCTACGTGGGAAAGCGCGTGTCGCTCAACCGACATGCTAAGCACGTGGGACAAGACACTGGGCAGGGCCGGCGCCACTGGTACGGCCGGTACGGCCATGGCCGTACCAAAAAAAAAAAAAAAAAAAAAAAAAAAAGAGGGCGTGGAACGTCCAAAACCGGGGAGAGAAAGTTTCCATGTATGATTTTGTACAGGGAGTCGCCCAGAGTGCAGAATTTGCCGTCTAAATTCCAAAATTTTATGGGGGAGGACCCCCAGACCCCCCTTAAACATGGTCCTTCGGCCGCACCACTCCTCGGAAGCTGCCTCCGGCCCTGCTGGCCAAACCACATTGTATCAAAAGGACGTGCCAGCTCAGCACACAGCTGCTCACTACCAGTATGTAGATCCTGCTGTCACAGGACTATCAGGCAGCAGTCGTCAGTGACATTATTACCGTAACTATTCCACTAATTGCTCTGTAGGGCCGCTTCGTAACAACGAACACAAAGTTAATTGGTGATTGGTAATAATTTATTTTCGAATTGTGGTAGATGACCACGCCAAGGGCAGATTTTCTTCAAATAATAATATTATGCAAAACCAAACAATTTCTCAATGTGTGAAGACTCAACTGCAGCCATCCATTATAACCACACAGCCTCCAAGTTCTTCTTCTTTTTCTTTCTCCCCTCTAGCTCTATTACCGCCATGGCTGGCTATCGCCCACATCACCATTTCATTGGCTAGTGCCACGTGATTGTGAATAAATAATAAAAGAATAATAAAAGCGCTGTCTTGTCTACACCAATACCTGAAAAATGAGGGAATGAAATCATCAAAATTTTTCGGGCAAGCAGCCCATCTTCAGGAAGGAGAATATACAGTAGAATCTCATTGGGAAGAACACTGCATGATAAGACAAATGTTTGCCTAAGAGGAACTAGTATTCGTAACTGTATTAGATAAAAACCTGTGTATTCACTGGGTAAAACATAATATGGATAAGAAGAACTCCCGCTATTGCGAACAAATATCAATGGTCCCTTGATGTTCGTCCTAAAGAAGTTTGACGGCACTAATACACCTTTACACGAATGGACAACAGAATCCTCTTGTCGATTCACTCGCAGACACCCGCTGGGTGGCGCCTGTGGGTAGATCTCTAGCAGTGAGATCACACTCAGCACTAGTATCGCAGAGGCTTTCTGGAAGTGGAAGTGGGCAGGAGAATCCGAGAGAGGAAAACACACCCGCAACCCCGTTTGAGAAATACAATACAGGCTTGTTGTTTTTTTGCTGCTCATTCTTGCAGATTGCCGAGTGATAATGTATGCCTTTTATGATGTAAAAGCCGTGCACCAACACTGCAATGGCTAATGGCCGTGATCTCTGGTGCATAGTCTCATTTGTTCTGTTCAAATAATTTCTTGGTGGTGGTGGTGTGTGTGTGTGTGTGTGTGTGCGTGCGTGCGTGCGTGCGTGTGTGTGATCTTCTATTCAGTCCCATCCCAGTGCATCACATCTAAGAAATTAGCTCCCAATGCAAGACTTATGTCCATTGTCACCAAGATAGCCATGCAGATCAATGTCAAAATGGGCGGAGAGCTCTGGCGCCACCCGGCGCAAAGTGCATTCGACAGTACCATGACCATCGGGCTCGACGTCTTCCACCAGAGGGGCCAGAGCTCCGTTGGTGCCTTCGTGGCGTCTCTCAACAAGACTAATTCCAGGTAAGCCCGGTGCCTCCCACCCCCTGGCCTCCCCGTGGAGACTCGTGCTGGGTTGATTGCCTCTCAACCTAGGTGACACAATGATTCAGTTAGCGGGGAACCCGTCGACCCGCTTCTACTGCTAGGATGTCAATGTTGTAAGGGGGTCGGTTACTATGGGTTACTGGTCAAATCCCGCCACACTCCCAGCTCCTTGCCCAAGACAATTGGAGTATTCCACACGACAGCAAGGGCAAGTATTCATACTACTGTATTCTTGATCTCTCTCCCCGCTGCCTCAGGTACTTTTCGCGAGCTATGATCCATGAACAGAGGCAAGAGAATATGGATCAGCTGGAAAGTCCTACTGCAGGTATGTACACTTCCCTCATCTACATATGCGCTGTTGCACTCCTTAGCCACCCCACACAGGCAGGACAACACTGCGCTGCTCACTGAAATCCAGTTGCGACACTTAAGTGCGCGCCGGGCGTTGCGCGGCCCTAGACCTGCGAACACTGGGCTGCGAAATGGTACAAGGCGCAATCCTGAGTGATGCAACTTTTTTACTTTTTATTTTTTTGTTAACTGAATGTCATGCAGCACTCCTGTAGTGCGTGCATGGTGTTATGTTTTTTTTTAAAATTTATTATTTTTCTACTAGATACACAACTCACCGGCAGGCACATGCATGGGGCTAGCATGGGCTGAGATGGTGCTGGTGGGGCCTGCCATGCTCCACCGGCCAGAGGTCTCGGCATCTTCACATGGCAGGTGCACCAAATTAGGGAGGAAAGCATAAGCATGAGGGGAGAAGAGCACGGAAGAAAAATGGAAGATAATGCTTATACATGTAGCATGTGCCATTCCCCGGGCGCGTGAAACGGACTTGGCGGTTTTTAGTTGCTGTACTTCGAAGTACATGAGTTGAGTCGGCGCTCTTGTTGTTTTGGATCGAAGGAATAAAGAATACTGTGGCCATAAGAGATCTGCAATCGAACTAACACTCGTACGCAACATTTGTATAAATAGAGACACTCAATGATGCAGACAGCCAGACTGTTTCAGCCAATGAGGCCTCATCAGTGCAACTCCGAGCTTAAAATAGAGACATAATTAACGGGTGTCCACGTTTTGGCCTTTGTGCTCAAACCTCGATTGCACATCGGACCCAAGTTCTCGGTCACAGCACGCAGGGAGTGGAGTTCACGCAAGCCAAAAATCCAATCGTGACCCTCAATGGCGGCCGTATTTATATACGTTGTATTTCTCGCCGGCCGAGCGCAGCGCGATAGGCAACAAATGATTTCTCGCGCAACATTTTCGGCTGCAAATATGGCATCTGGTGTGCTCTTTGTGGTCACAGCTGGCTGCGGCCAACTACCCTTCACTTTGTGTGTTTTCGCTGTTGCTGTCTATGCCTCTGTGTGTGCCAGTATTTGTGGAGCAAAAAAATGTGCACACAACACTTTCTTCTTCATTACACAGTCAACTTTGCGTATAACGACACTCGGCGGCGGGGCATCAAAAAAGTTTCCTTATTCGCGAAGTGCCGTTATACCCGAAGTCTCATTATATGTATTACAGTTGGAAGGGACTTTGCTCTGGGCATAGAAATGCTGTCGTTCGTTATATCCGCAGTTGTTATTAGCGAAGTTGATTGTACTGAAGAAGATAACAAGGCTGCAATGACGCTTAAAAGTTCTGAAAAAAAAACTCCCACAAGGCCGTACAGAAAGGAAGGTACCAGTTGACCCCTGGACACAGCATTCCTGGGTACTGTCCACCCACCTCGCACTAAAACTATCCAACTCCACTTAGGAGGCCGAAAGAAGCACACAGCGGCTAGTATGGACACTGCATGTGGACTTGTTCTTGCTGTGGTGGTCTTGTGCTGTGGTGGTCTTGTGCTGTGGTGGTCTTGTGCTGTGGTGGTCTTGTGCTGTGGTGGTCTTGTGCTGTGGTGGTCTTGTGCTGTTCTGGTCTTGTGCTGTGCTGGTCTTGTGCTGTGGTGGTCTTGTGCTGTGGTGGTCTTGTGCTGTGGTGGTCTTGTGCTGTGGTGGTCTTGTGCTGTGGTGGTCTTGTGCTGTGGTGGTCTTGTGCTGTGGTGGTCTTGTGCTGTGGTGGTCTTGTGCTGTGCTGGTCTTGTGCTGTTCTGGTCTTGTGCTGTGCTGGTCTTGTGCTGTGCTGTGCTGTGCTGGACTTGTTCTGTGCTGGTCTTGTTCTGTGCTGGTCTTGCGCTGTGCTGGTCTTGTGCTGTGCTGGTCTTGTGGTGTGGCGGTTGAGAAGGGGCATGGTGTGGCAGTTGAGAAGGGGCATGGTGTGCAGTGTTGACTTGTGGTTAACTAGCAGTTTGGATGAGAAAATAGACTGACATGGATTGACTGGTGCTAATATTTACACGCACACACACACACACACACACACACACACACACACACACACACACACACACACACACACACACACACACACACACACACACACACACACACACACACAATCTCTCACATATACCCACAAACATACGTGCACGCGCACACGTTTCGCACACATACGCAACCACGTCAATCTCTCTGCATCCCTTGTAACTGTAATAATCTCTTAGATGCTCTACGTGCATACTGGAACCAAACTCGAAGCTACCCAAAGAACATAGTCGTCTTCCGCGATGGTGTTGGAGATGGACAGGTAAGGTTGGTTGTGTGTTTGTGCAGCCCAACTCGTGCCAAAGTGACCTCAGATAAACAAATAAGAGCCGTGGAGACAGCAGTTTGAAGGCTATGAGTAAGATTAAACGTGTGGTCATCACCAACCACAATCACAAGGAAGTCTAATGTTGAGTAACCATAACGTTTTCTCGTGACAATCATCAGTGGTTTCCGTCACTAAAAGGCCAGTACCGAATGAAAGAGTATTTATCCGCCAGCCTAAGGTGGTATACTATGCTAATCATATTACTACTCAGTATAATTTACTTTAGTTACAGTTCGCATGTCGCGCATGGAAGGATCCATAGGCTTAGCACATCTGTTAATGAAATCCGGCAGAAAAGCCGACAAAAGGCACCTCAATATTCCCATAATGTATAGCAGTGAAGAACAACTACGCCAGCGCAGCACTTTTTCCACAAGCATCAGCCATCTGCTAAAGAGTGATACGATTTAATTGCCGTGTTACGAGTCACCGTGCCCCGAGTGGGAACGCGCACTGCAAGAAGAGGGGAAACGAGTCGGCCAAACAAAGGCCTGGCTTTACACTGCTTCAGGTGGGGGAATGAATAGTGTATTATCATCTGCGGACATATGGCCTAGCGAAATTTGTGCAAGCTTTTTGTCAAATCTCGACGGAAAAGGAGCTGAAAAACGAAAATTACTTGCTAAGTTGAAGTTGCTATCACTGTACTGGTGCCCAGTGCTGTACGACACCGGTGCAATGTCGTATACTTAGCGACACCGGTGTAATGTCGTATACTTAGCGCTTGCATGTCTGATTGTCAACTACATGCACTCGGAAAAAACTTGGTGTTTTGCGCAACCTCCGAATCGACCGATTTTCGTAGCCTTTTTCGAGGTTACTTATGTCGAACGCCACGAAACTTTGCTTTCCGCAAACTCTCAATTGTTTGAAAAGGTAGTAGAAGTGGCGGTCAGCTTTCCTGCAACTTCATACATGAAAATCGACCTCTTCCCCTTTCCTCTATAACTCAAATAGTTTTCTATCGTACGGCCAGTTTCTGTCCCAGAGACGACAGCTTCGTCCTGCACCAGTTGCTGTGAAATACTAGTGAGTAGTAGCTGGTATCTGCTTTTAGCCTGATGTGTAACACCTTTGCTGGGGAAAGTGTGATGCAAGGATCACAGTCCGGTTCCTGTGGAAGTGGTTCCTTGGCCGTCTCCACTCTAAATGCCCAGATACTGGTCTACATTCGTTAGTACGACGTTGGTTACAGGACAAACCTCATTGGTAGACAATCATCAAAAATCCGCTGACGCCTGAAACGCGTACATTCAAGTTTGGATGGTAGATAATACTAAGAGTATATACCCCCCCCCCCTAAAGAGTGCATGGGGTCTCCGACGGCGAAAACTCACATCATATGTCTCAGATACGTTCGTACTAAGTAAAAACAAAGGATAGCGTGCGCGCAATCCGAATATCTGCCATGATCATGCTGAGGATTTGCATACCCGCAGTGAGTTTCTGTCACAGAGTGCTTTTTTATTACTCCGCTACTCGCTAAAAACGGGCTGGACAGTGGAAGCGTACAACTGCAATGCTGCACCGCGTGATGTGAGTTTTCCCCGTCGGCGTACCCCATGGAAAGGGTATCAGGAGTTGCACACTCTTCGGGGGTTATATACGTCCTGTTTGATGATCACCTGGCTTAGTTTCTCTCCACCTCTATCCTTATTACATCCCTCCCCAATTTCATTAATTACTGCTTTCTATCTGCATTCGCCACCTTTTCATTGGGCAGATCTGCCCGTTTGGTTTGCGAATTAAAATTAAGACAAAAAAATTGAACCCCCGGCTTGTCTTCTAAGGAGGGTATCTCTGTCTGTATTGGCTTAAGGTCATAAAACATCGCTTGCTAGGAAGCCAATCTTTCCAAAAAAACACAAGGATCCATGTGTGGGATTCAAACGCAGCGTACGGTGTCCTACCAATGAGGTTTAACGCCCGCATGCCCACACGCACGTATGCGCCCACACAGGCATATGGGGCCCTTTCCTTCCTCACTGTGAGGAGAAGGAAAGATATGATTGTTAGTCTCGGTGATGTAAAGTAGATGTGATAGGTGAAGTTTGTGCACATTGTCAAGTGTGTTTTGAAATATGATACACTTCTACGGCCATAGCGATTTTAAAAGCTGTGTGTTGTGGCGACGTTCTCTCAGACTACATGCACTAGACATGGTTAGCATTTTACCATTCACGCTAAATCCAACGGCAATCGCACCCAATACCCAAAATACCGTCGGTTCGGTATCGTTTTGGGGCTTTTTCGACTCCCTGGTTTCAACGATAGAAAGCTCTGTTTAGCGGGAGAACGAAACGATAAGATTACAACCAGGGTTACGTCACAAGTCGATCGTTGTGGCAGAAATCGAAGTGCTAACCTCTCTCTCAACACCCAAGAAAAAACAGTACAGGCTGACCGTCATGGTTAGCGTGAATGATAAAATGCTAGCCATTTCTACTGTGTGTTCCTCCGGTGCATGGTCACATTGCCGTCCCTTGGCATCTGTGCTTCTTTGGTGCACTGTGTACACATGTGTGCGTGTGTGTGTGCGTGTGTGTGTGCGTGTGTTTGTGTGTGTGTGTGCGTGCGTGTGTTTGTGTGTGTGTCACACTAGTAGCAAGTATTACCTTCACTGGGGGCAGGGGTAACTGCAGTTGGATCCCGGGACGGATACCCTGATGCCATCAAAACTTTTTCTGCACCTTGTCCTCACCCACTTACTGAGGTGTGGTGAGTCCATAAAGGAAGGTTCAAGGTTATGGAAAGGCCAAAGAGGGGAATTGCCTTCCCCTCTTTGGTCTTTCCATAACCTTGAACCTTCCAAGTTGGAAGGCTGTCGGTTAGCGCTACGGAGATGTGTTGAAGCTAGGTGTCAGGACGTCGAATGTCTCAGTACTCTTGTCAGTTTTGTGCCTAGTTATTGCACTTTCTGACTGTATATAGTATCCATTTACAGTGATGGATAGTTACTCTTAACTCGTATCCATATGTCCTTTTCCTTTCTACAATACTAATAATAATAATAATAATAAATTTGGGGATCACGAGACATACAGAGCATGCATACATGCGGAAGGAGTGTAAATAATTACGACGAAATGAGAATGGAAAGCCAATGGGAATGGGAGAAGCAGTCTCTAAGACCATTCCCGTCACAGAAGGATGCCTCGAAAAAATCCGGATCCCCATGCGGATTTTGGCACGGAAAATTGTACCCCGGAACCTCTCTAATATGGCTTCCGTACTCCGTGTGGTAGTTCCGCTTCCCTCTAACCAGGAATCTATTGCTTCAGAAATGCTGTAACATCGTGAGGGCCCCGTGTATTCTTTTTGTGTTTTTTTCACTTAGCTGGCTTATGTTCGTGACAATGAGTGCGACCAGATCATACGTGGCATAGAACGTATTGTGCCTGAAGGACAGACGTAAGTTGAAGACGTTGTCGTCACTTCGCACTGTGTCTGTATGTAACCGTGGAGCACATCTATTCGATGACGACGTTGGCTATAGAGGATTGTTGATTACAAGACCTTTCCAGAAAGCCTAATTGTCGAAACTGATGAAGGGAAACGAAAGTTGTAATCCGAACAGCTTGCACAATATGTAGTGCATTCAGCCATTTCACTAAAAATCAAGTTAGCACTGAAGGGGTCAATGTGAGCATATCATAAGGAATAGGCTACAAGGAGCCGAAAACCTCATCATCTTTCAGTCTTTACCGGCATAGATGATTTTGCAAACACATTTTGCTGTTTTGTGACCCGGCACTTCAATAACAGGGGCGTCGGAAGGTAATTAGTGTGGCACGGTCAGCCATCTGAAGTGCAATTTACTGGTGGGGCAGGGGACCTGGGGTGGCTGAGGCGAAAAGTTTGGAAAATTAGAGCCCAAATCAGCGCATTTTATTGATTCACGGGGTACTTGGGTCAAATAGTGGTACGGTCAATACCGTAGTGACCATACCGTGTGCGACGCCCCCTGAATAAGGATGTGTATGCTGAGATGCTGTGCAATTTTACCATCTCTCCTCTGCAGCGTTGGCGTGTGCTTCGTTGTTGTTCAGAAGCGGATCAACCACCGCTTCTATAGGACGAGAGGTCGTTACAAGGAAAACCCATTGCCCGGAACAGTCATTGACGATGTCGTTACGCGCGAAAAATGGTATGTACTCTGCATACAACTTGCTACAATGTGTCAACTTACAGCCTGTTTGGGTTCGTTCCTGTCACTTGAGTTGAACCTTTGAACCTTTGAGTTGAACCTTGGTCTGAAAATTGTAGCCTGCAGGCATGGTGACCAGGTGACTGGTGTACGCATGAGCACGTGGCAGCTTGCCCGGCCGTGTTCGATTGGCGGAGAGGACCGAACGCTGCATCGCAGCCCTTTCGGACCAAAACCAGTCGATTCAGCATCCAAAAGACTACAACATATGGGCCAATTGCCGTCATCCATCCTTTTTATAAGAATGAAATGGCGCTTTTAGTTACACTTTGCATTCAAATCCCCATCTAGTAGGGCGCAGTTGCAGTTTCGGTGGAAGTGGGCAGTTCGATTGGGAGTAAAGGAGGAAGACTGCTTCCTCGAACCAAGACCATTCGACTCAGCACCCGAAGACTACAACTGGTGAAAAATTGATTTTGGGGTATACTTCCGGTTGGAGACCTCACTGAGGAGGGGATATGTTAACCGTTGGAGATCCCACTGAGGAGGGATATGTTAACCATTGGAGACCCCACTGGGAAGGGATATGTTAACCGTTGGCGATCTCACTCACCTGCTCACAATCCTTGGGCACCCTGTAAGAAGGCCATAGGCCTGTTGGGTATACCCAAGTAAAATAACGAGAGAGCTTGGAAGCTCAGGGCCCTACGCTATGCTTTTTTTGCCTTGATGACCTAGACAAAAAAAGCATTCGAAGGGATTCGAACCCGCACTATCGCGCGCCTTGCATGCATCCCCCGATACACTTCGCATACATACTAATTCTTCCCAGTTGTTTCACATTGTGATCTTGCATTTGAAAGCCCTATTTGAATATGCATTGTGGCCAGCCGTCTTTGATGGCACGGTACGGTAGGGGATAGGTACGGGACAGGTACGATCGAGGGTAATACGACACCGTCTCCCGTACCGTACCGTACCATCAAACACAGCTGGCCACATACAGCTGCCCGCAATATTCAAATAGGGCTTTCAAACGCAAGATAATAACGTGAAGCAACTTGGAAGAATGGGTATGAATGCGAAGCGTATGGGGGAATGCATGTAGGGCGATAGTGCGGGTTCGAATCCCAGGATATGCCTGAAAAAAAAATAGGAGAATTGAAAAATTTATAACATCCTATGCTTTTTAGCCGGCAGATACGGATAGCGCCAGGCGTGACACAAACAAACAAACAAACAAACAAACACACACACAAATACCAAATTAAAGCTGTGTGGACCCTGGCTAGCGCCAGACGTTACTGAAGTAACGTCTTCTGCATAGCTACGGGAATAATACATACTACTACTACTACTGCTACTGCTACTGCTGCTGCTGCTGCTGCTGCTGCTGCTGCTACTACTACAATATGATGGCTGACTTGTGGTCAGTTGTTTCCAGCCCTTATATTATATTTTTTACCAACCGTTGTCTCCTTTCTTCAATGTGTTCATTGTGTTTTCGGCTGCGCGAAAATCCCACGAACTCGGAAGGGTACCGGGCCAGTATGAACAGGTGACCAAAGTCGAAGGGTACCGGGCCAGTATGAACAGGTGACCAAAGTCGAAGGGTACCGGGCCAGTATGAACAGGTGACCAAAGTCGAAATGCCCGGAGCTTGTCTGTGTTCTGTCTGACAGATTGTAGGCAATAGAGGTTATGCAATAGCCTGATCAGTGGAGATGCCTTGGCAACACTCCGACACAACGACACACTAGCTCAAGCAAAACCGCCAACTCTGCCTGTGTAGCGCACACATCATGCAAATCAGTTAGTTCACCTCCTTTTGAAACATCATTTGCATACCTGTCGGCAGCTACTGCTCTGAGGATGCTACGCCTTCTTGCTGGTGGTGCACGGATACGGTGAATGGGGATGGCTTTGTGGTGGGTGTGATCTACTCGCCTCCCACCGCTTTAGGAGCTGCATCTGCACCTTGAACCATACAGGGTGATAGCGTTCCCACGGCGGATCCTGAAAACTCAGCCTCCAGCCGAGTATCAGGCGAACCGCGAATGTTTATTTTAAAAAATGTCGCGTGAGACTCGGCTGGAAGTGTTTTTACTCCGAGTTTCACGCACTAAGCGATCATCAGAAAACAGTTTTCTGATGATCGCTTAGTGCGTGAAACTCGGAGTAAAAACACTTTCTCTGTCCTCCTATTGTTTGAACCAGCTCTACCACTCGGTATTGAGCACTCTCTTGGACAGCCTGGAACCTCTCTGTTTTATATTTATTATTATTATTGATTGAAAGCCACAAACCTTCAGACATGTGAATGTGCACATGTGCAGTGTACATGCGTGGGTATAGAGAAGGCAGCACGGAAACGGCAGTGCATGGTGGTGAGGCCTGGGCAGCTCGTCCGAACGTGGGTCTCGGAGTCCACACTGGGTTTATGCCGAAGGTTGGGTTGTGATGGATGGTGGTGTGCCGACTACACCAGATAGCTCCACTCCAGCAGGTTCATGGACTCAGTTATTGGGATTGTTTGTCTTTTTATTCTTTTTTTTATTCTTCGAAAAATACGGAATTGAGATAAATATATGATGTCATGCTAGACTAAAGACTATGTGGAAGGTAATACCGCATACCGGTGTAATGAGGGTTCACATAGCACTAGCAATTCATTATGATTGTACTGTGTTTCAAGTCTGTGGTTGTCTTTCTAACTTGCTGCTGCTGCTGCTGTGTCCTTGTCTGATCTACTTACTTAAGCAGCTGCACTTGTGCCTTGATCCTGGACGGTGGCGGCGTTCCTGCGGGTGTAAGGAGCTCATCTCGCACGAACCGTGACATTTATATTTTCTTCTGTCCCTGAATGTTACGCGTGTTGTTGTGTAGGTATGACTTCTTTCTCTGTAGTCAGAGTGTCAACCAAGGCACCGTGACTCCGACCCATTACAACATTATCTTTGATACTTGGAAAGGAGCGAATAATACAGAATTGACGCCGAACCAAATCCAGTCGCACACCTACCTTCAAACACACAATTACTACAATTGGCCGGTAAGGGTGTGTTTGTGTCCGTGTTTGTGTGTGTGTGTGTGTTTGTGTGTGTGTGTGTGTGTGTGTGTGTGCGTGTGTGTGTGTGTGTGTGTGTGTGTGTGTGTGAGTGTGTGTGTGTGTGTATGTGTGTTGAGGATATCCCTGCATAATGCATAATACTGTTGTTGTGTTCTGGGGTGTGGTGAGTTTGGACTAACAGAGACTGCAGTGGACTACTGAGGCTTGGGTGTGAAAGTGAAGTTTGCATTCCCGCATAACCACCTGCTAGACAATGGTGTTGACTGTTGAGAAACATAACCACCTGCTAGACAATGGTGTTGACTGTTGAGAAACATAACCACCTGCTAGACAATGGTGTTGACTGTTGAGAAACATAACCACCTGCTAGACAATGGTGTTGACTGTTGAGAAACATAACCACCTGCTAGACAATGGTGTTGACTGTTGAGAAACATAACCACCTGCTAGACAATGGTGTTGACTGTTGAGAAACATAACCACCTGCTAGACAATGGTGTTGACTGTTGAGAAACATAACCACCTGCTAGACAATGGTGTTGACTGTTGAGAAACATAACCACCTGCTAGACAATGGTGTTGACTGTTGAGAAACATAACCACCTGCTAGACAATGGTGTTGACTGTTGAGAAACATAACCACCTGCTAGACAATGGTGTTGACTGTTGAGAAACATAACCACCTGCTAGACAATGGTGTTGACTGTTGAGAAACATAGCCACCTGCTAGACAATGGTGTTGACTGTTGAGAAACATAACCACCTGCTAGACAATGGTGTTGACTGTTGAGAAACATAGCCACCTGCTAGACAATGGTGTTGACTGTTGAGAAACATAACCACCTGCTAGACAATGGTGTTGACTGTTGAGAAACATAACCAGTTTAGCCGAAGATCTAGTACATACAACCTGTATTGCTGTTTCCACTGTTTCCGAAAGTGCTTTTTTGATTCATTATCTTCTGTGTGTGTGTGTGTGTGTGTATTTGTGTGTGTGTGTGTGTGTGTGTGTCTTTGCATGTGTGTGTGTGTGTGTTCGTGTATGTGTGTATGTGTATGTGTATGTGTGTATGTGTTTGTGTGTGTGCGTGTTTCTTTCCAGGGTACGATAAGAGTACCAGCACAATGCCAGTATGCTCACAAGCTAGCCTATCTGGTCGGCGAACACACCATCCATTTGCCGAACCCACATCTCGATAACCGTCTATACTACCTCTAATCGGCCTACTCCCACTGTGGCTGTGTCTCCACTGGACTATGGAGAAACAGCCCTGCATGGCAGCTAGCTTATCTGGTAGGCGGAAAATACCGTTGAATTGCCTCTGATCGGCCTGCTCACAGTGTGTCTCCACGGAACTATGGATGAACAGCCCTGCATGGCAGTGCACTGCATCATGCGGCAGCTGAAAAAGAGGAACAGACATTTGACTTTTCCATTCAATTCTACTGATACAGTTTAAGTTGCTTTTCACATTTGGAGTTTCTGTAAAACCTTGAATTGAATTCCTACAGGACCGGTGTTTCAAATCGAAGCACAAGCTGGAATTTTTGAGTTTCACACATACATGCCAACCTGGAGGGTTGAGTTCCCTGGACAACGAAACTGAATTCCCTTGATTTTGACCATTTTTCCCTAATGATTGTCTCTAGAAAACTTGTTAGGAAATTTTATTATCCATCTTTTGTTTTTGTTGATTACTACATCCAATGTCCGCGTCGCTGATTCTGCTGATTGCCATAATAAAGTTATTGTCTGTGCGCCGCTTATTCGTATACCTCAAGAGGAGATACTCTGCACCTCAGGTAGAATACTTGAACACAGCTATTGGGAAGCGCTTTATTTGTCGTACTATAGCACACAACCTTAAATTCCTCACACAATGTTTAGAGCATGGTGTTTGGCCACAATCGATACGGAACCGCGTCAACAAGGCGCAGGCATATCACTCCCTCAACCTAGAGAGAGAGAGAGAGAGAGAGAGAGAGAGAGAGAGTCTTCATTTTAGAAGATGATATTGGCCGTGAGTAGCTCCCAGCAATGTCAAGTCCCAGTTTAAGCAGGATTCACAGAAGCTTTTTTGCGATGCGACACGCGATGCAACAGGCGCGAAACCCCAAATCGCAGCCATCTTGCACCCCACGCAACTGCCGCAACTGGGCCATCGTGGAAGTTGAGCTTGGCTCAACATTTGCGATGCGACAAGCGATTTGGCATACGATTTTGACCTTTTCTACAGCAAAGTTGTACAAAGGTTTAAGAGTTGCCTATAAATTTGTACAAGTTGTACCAAACCGCACAAATACCGTGGGGACGTACCCACCTGCATTGAACTTCGCGCCAAATCAGCAAGGCGTTGTCGCATTGCTGACTTCTTCTGTGAATGGTATTTCGCGAGTTTGCATCGCACGCGTCCGTGGCAGATCACGTCGCATCGCATGTCGCATCACAAAAAAGCTTCTGTGAATCCCGCTTAAGACGTTAATATGCTCAGGCCGTTTCATTTCTCTCCCCGCGAAACCGAAAAATCCCCGTATCGCAGCCATCTCGCAGCCCATGCAACAGGGTCGCAACAGGGCCATCGCAGAAGTTGAGCTTGGCTCAAGTTTTGCGATGTGGCAAGCGATTTGGCGTACGATTTTGACCTTTTCTACAGCAACGTGGTACAAAGGTTCAAGAGTTTCCTGTCAATTTGAGAAAGTTGTACCATGCCATGCGAATACCATGGTGACGTACCCACCTGCATTGGACTTCACGCCAAATCAACAAGGCGTTGTCGCATCGCTGACTTCTTCCGTGAATGGTATTTCGTGAGTTTGCATCGCACGCGTCCATCGCAGATCGCGTCGCATCGCCCATCGCATCGAAAAAAAAGCTTCTGTGAATTCCGCTTTTTGATTTCTTAGGTTTCTCGAACCTCCTATCACAAAATGACAACACGCAACATATACGACTTATCACTAAACATCGAAAGAACTTGAATTGCCTTAGGAAGAAGCTGTTCGGGTCTTTTACAATTGAGCATAGTACGATTATTAATCTGGCTATTGTAAAACTGAGCAACATTGAGAAGGAGCTCCTCTGTAGAGGCATCGATTTCGGTATTCTCTAACGTCACTTTTAAAACCCTTTTAAAGAATTCTAGCTTTTCTACAATATGTCAATAGGTTAGTACAATAGGTTAGTGCAATAGGTTAGTACAATAGGTTAGTACAATAGGTTAGTACAATAGGTTAGTACAATAGGTTAGTACAATAGGTTAGTACAATAGGTTAGTACAATAGGTTAGTACAATAGGTTAGTACAATAGGTTAGTACAATAGGTTAGTACAATAGGTTAGTACAATAGGTTAGTACAATAGGTTAGTACAATAGGTTAGTACAATAGGTTAGCCGAATTTGAATCGTGCTCAGATACACAGAAGTGGGTGTGCGTTTGTAAGTTACGCTCCATACATGATAGCGGAGGAACATGCCACACAACAGCCGGGCCGCAAGTCATTCTCGTTAACGTAGGAACACATGAAGTCTCTCCGTGATCTCAGAGTACATAAGGACATTATTACAAAGCCGGACAAGGGTAGAGGTACATGTACTGTAATTATCACAAACGATCAATATCACACGAAGATGGCTGCAAATAATATTTATTGCTCGCCCCTGTATTAAAGGGGAAGTTAAGGCAAAAATTAAAATTTCACCAGTTGTAGTCTTCGGGGTGCTGAGTCGAATGGTCGTGGTCCGAGGAAGCTGAGACGCTCCCTTCCTACTTGAATCCCAATCGAACTCGCGCACTTCCACCGAAACTGGGTGACTGCGCCCTACTAGATGGGGGATTTGTATGCAAAATGTCACTAAAAGCGCCATTTCGTTCTTATAAAAGCACGGATGACCGCGATTGGCCCATATGTTGTAGTCTTTTGGACGCTGAGTCGACTGGTTTTGGTCCGAAAAGGCTGCGATGCAGCGTTCCGCCTTTATTCCCAATCGAACATGGTTGAACAAGCGGTCACGTGCTCCTGCGTACGCCAGTCACCTGGTCACCGTGCCTGCAGGGTACAACTTACTAGCCTGTTTGACCTTTTTTGGGTGCAGTCCTGTCACTCGAGTTGAACTCGAGTTGAACCTTGGTGTGAAAGTTGTCACCTGCTGGCGTGGTGACCAGGTGATTTGGGCACCCAGGAGCACGTGACCGCTTGTTCAACCATGTTCGATTGGGAATAAAGGAGGAACGCTGCATCGCAGCCTTTTCGGACCAAAACCAGTCGACTCAGCGTCCAAAAGACTACAACATATGGGCCAATTGCGGTCATCCGTGCTTTTATAAGAACGAAATGGCGCTTTTAGTGACATTTTGCATACAAATCCCCATCTCGTAGGGCGCAGTCACCCAGTTTCGGTGGAAGTGCGCGAGTTCGATTGGGATTCAAGTAGGAAGGGAGCGTCTCAGCTTCCTCGGACCACGACCATTCGACTCAGCACCCCGAAGACTACAACTGGTGAAATTTTAATTTTTGCCTTAACTTCCCCTTTAAACAAATCGTGTACGTAATCTTATTGAGCGTGCTAGCCTACTGCTAGGCGCATTTGCTCACCCAGTTGTTGTTGTTGTTGATTTTTATTTTGCTTCGCAAGGCCAAACGGGCAATGGTGCCCAATTCTATGGAAGCGAATTTCAAAAGGGAGAGAGCTACGGGGAGAGAGAGAGAGAGAGAGAGAGAGAGAGAGAGAGAGAGAGAGAGAGAGAGAGAGAGATAGATAGAGAGAGATAGAGAGAGAGAGAGAGAGAGATAGATAGAGAGAGAGAGAGAGAGAGAGGGGGGGGGGGGGGGGGGAAGGAGGGAGATGATAAGCAATTTTGCAGCGTCAACAGAGCGATTTTGCAGTGTCAATAGAGGGAACACAAAGAGTTCATAAGCGCACAAGCACGCAGAGAAGAGTAAATGATGTGGTGTGTGGACGCGAAAAGTCAGACAGAGCATTCATTGCAAGGTGTAGGGGATGGAGGCAAGCTTAAATTGCTGGGCAGCCTTGATCTCCCTTACACTCCTTGGGAGAGCGTTCCAGCCCAAGGCTGCCTGAAAGGCCAGGCGAGATCTGCCGGCTTCTGACTGTGCCGAGGGGACAGTGAGGCCCCTGGAAACCTGGTGCCGGGTGGTGCTGCCAGCTGATGGTGAGAATAGGTCCTGGAGGACACTGCTGGCTTTCCCATTGACGCAGCGCCACAACAGGACGAGCCGCTTCTGGGCGTAGCACTCGCGAACTCTGTACAGGGACATCCGTTCGAGCAGAGGCTGAGCCGAGGTGTGAGGCGGCAAACCGTATACCGCTCTCGCCGCTCGGTTCTGCAGGACCTGAAGGCGATCAAGCTGCGAAACCTTGAGGGAGGAAGAGAAGGCGTTAGACCCATATAGGAGGTCAGGCATGATGACTGACCTCACATACTGGATGCGACTACTGAGGCTCAGACATCTGCGGGACCGCCACAATGCTCCAATCTCCTGCACAACTTTCTTCGCCATCGCGTCAACATGGGGGTCCCACTTCCCAGCGGCGTCAAGGGTCACGCCGAGGTACCTTGCTGTTGGGCTCAGGGAAAGCTCTGTCTGGTTGCAGCGGACAGCGACATGCTGACCCGCATTGCGTTTTGGTACAATTGACAGGACCTGGCTCCTCTTGTCATTTAGAAGCAGATGGCGATGCTTGAGCCAGTCAGCGACGTTGGTGACGGCCCCTGACAGGCAGGCTGATGTGGCTAGCACTGATTTTCTGTGGCAGTGCACGGCAATGTCATCGGCAAATTGCAGAGATGGAGCAGGATGGGCTATGGCAGGGACATCACGGGTGTACATGCTAAACAGGATCGGCCCTAGGACCGAGTCCTGAGATACACCAGTAAGCTTCAGGAAGAGCTAGCTTTCCTGAGACAAGATTTTGTTAAGAATGGTTACCCCGTACAACTCTTGAACAAACTATTCAATGAGCCTGTTGTCAATGCCATGGAACAGCCTTTCGGGCCCAATCCGTGGCGAGTATTTTTGAGACTCCCATGGAAGGGTCAAGTATCACTAGATGCAGCCCGAGAAGTTAAAGAAATCGTCAAACTTACTCCGCTACCTCCTTTACGCCAGTGTTCACTACAGCGCGTGCGTTCACGGTGAAGAAGGACGTTCTTCCTACCCAACTAATTACCTATGTAATCTACCATTTTGGATGTCGGCATTGTGTTCGCCGATATGTAGGTAGAACCCTTCAGCACCTGAACGCACGTGTTCAACAACATGTACCGCTCTATCTATTATCAGACAGTGCTAGTGCCCTACAGCCTAGACGAGACCGACCAACCAAGTTACTAAGCCCTTGAAGGAGACTCACATCCGACAGACGACTCGGTGCCTACTTTTACCTGAGGAGACTACACGATTAACAGACAGCCCAGATGCTAACCAGTCCGAGACACATCGACAGCAGCATGACTCGATCAACAGTGATTCAACACGAATGATTTCTACCAATGGACATGGACCCGAAGCAGCAACCCACGTGACAACAGTATTGACGGAGGATGAGGACCGGCAGACCACAGACGGTGAAGGTACTGGCAGTGATGGAGAGCAGGACGAGGATGTTGAGGCCGGCAGTGGACAGATGGAAAGTGAGGGTGATGATACTAGAAAGAGATCCGCAATAAAGAAACACCTGTTGTCCAACAGTCAGAGCCGTTCAGTTTATG